TGCAACTTTCAAATGTGACCTTAGATGATGTCGGGATAAGCCAAAGTACTTACTTCGTCCAGTGGCGTTCCATATATTTTAACTTTATTCTGGCATGTTTTAAATATTTTCAGTCAAAAATGTAAATTGCGATATATTGTGCATGACACTAGTAAGAGTTTTAAAGCAGACAAACAAGTACTAGCTCTACTGGAGTCTCTAATATCCTGAGACGACAGAACTGTTACTCTAAAGTATTTAGGTTTTTTCATATTTGAACAAACACAGTGACAAATGCGTATAGAATGTTAGTCTTCGTGTTAGTATACTCTGCATATAAAATTGGTTATCGATCAAATTCTATTCTCTATAAGTATTTCCCTGAGTTTAAGTAGGAAAGACGTAAGGTATATAATATTCAGACAATGAAGAGATTTTACAATAATGTTTTAATAAGGCTCCGTATTGGTCCACGTCGATCGACACTATGAGAAACTTTGAGGAACCACCTATTGATTTCCATGAAGACCACGAGTCTATTATCACTACGAAGCTTCGATAAAGCTTAACACGGTCTCTGATGCCTTAGATGTAATAATAACTAATACCTATTCTCTTCCCTCGCCCACTAATACCTTAAATGGGGAGGTGATTGCCAAGACATACTATTAAACGTATATTTTGTGTCCATTTTATTACTAATTATACTTTGTAATCCATTTTAAAACAACTGTGATTTAATTCAATATACCATACAGAATACCTACTCGCTAATTAGCGAAATCTGAGGGGGTCCTTTTATTCTATACAGGAACTAATCTGTTTCTGTGGATTTCATACCATCATAACAAAAGCTCTAGTGCAAACCTAACACTGATATATTTTAGTAAACGAGTTTCATTATGAAAGATAATTGTTATACCAAGCGTGTTGTTCGTTTCGAGCGTATGCAATAAGAAACCGCGGGCTGTTATAAATTTTCTGCAATTCACAGGATTAGAAAATAGGAAATAATTTGTTTTTATATAGAGGGCGAGTTGGGAGGATCGCATCAAACTCCAGGAATGGTTTCTATCATCAAAATAATAAGAAAAATTTAAATGTTGTTATGCGATTATCCTTCCTGGTTTGGTGCAATTCTCCGGACTCACCCTGTATATGAACCGAATTTTTCATTCATATTCGGTTATACATAATATGCTACGAATGTTGAATGTAATTTTTTGTCTATTAAAAGTTTTTATAACCGTATTACAAAACAGATAAGTAAAAATTTGTATCCTCCAAATATTTTGGTTAATATAGTCCAGTCACTGAAGGTAAAATTTAGATTTAGGTTCTACTTACTCTCTACATCAAAGTTGACCCTGTGCCGGGGGTTGCTTTTTCTTTTTTAAGGGGTGAAAACTACCCCTATTCGAAAATAATTATAGAATTGTAGGTTCGAGCGTGTAATAGGTTGAAATCATATTTAAATAAGTAATTATGTTGGCTTGAAAATTGTCAATCCCTAAAAACCACCCGCTATGACAGTAATCATTAAAAAATAATGTTGAGAAATATTATTCAGCAACTTGCAATAATTTAATCATATAGTGATATTAAATTAAGGTTTCTTTACTGTTTTAATTTTTTATTATTTATTTATAAGTTTCAACCCTTATAAAAACCATTCTTGCAGAAAAAATCGAACAATTATAGTTATAATTTTTTTTTAGTTCAAAATATACGTGTGTGAATAGATGTGAATACATATGTGCCTAAAATATATGAATGTGTATTTATCAATGCTTCAATATACGTGTTCTGATATGTACAAAAATATGTGATTGGTTTTTTACCCATAACTCCCTTAATTTTTATGCTATCAAGCCCTTCAAAAAACCATTTTGTAGGTTTTTTCAAGGACTATAAGATCAAATAAGTTAAATTTTCATTCAGCTCTTATTTCTGTAAGGGTTGGAGTTGAAAGGGCTTGAACAAGTTGCTATTTACGAACATATGTAAACTTTAAAGGGCCATATCTTATTTAATTTTTGTCCTACAGAAAAAAAAATAAAAAATTTTCAAAAAAGCAAAACCTACAATTTTGTACTCTACACAAAATTTTGCGTATCATTAATAGTTTTTGAGTTATTTTGAAGAAAAGACAATTTTTTCCAAAAATACAAAAAATTTCTTTTCACTTCAGGCTCAACTTTTTTCAAAACTAAGCACTTTAAACCGGTCAAACTTCTAGAGCATAATACAAGTACATAAATAAAGTAAATTGTAAAGTGGTAACTATTATTTTCAATTGGGGTGGTAATTAGGGGGTGATTTTCATGTTTTTTGTCGCCGAAAACAATACGGACTAACTTTATTTTCATCATAACTCGCTTAGGTTTGATGCTAGGGACTTTTATAAAAAAATAAAGGTTTTTTCAAGCACTGTAAAAAAGGTTCGATGAGCATTCCCTGAAAAATACATTGGTTTTTGGTTATTTCACGTTCAAACTTTCAATTTTGGCGTTTGAAGAATAAGAACCAACCTTCAACAAGCTATTATTCCGCTTGTATTGGGTCTACAGACACCATAGATACACCATTCTTTTTGTTTTTTTATAAGCTACATTTTTTATAAGAATGATTTTTTTCATAAAATACTTACTTTTTGAGTTATTCGCAAAAAGCCGTCTAAAAAAGTGTTTTTTTTTTGGTTAAAAAATTTACACTTTCACTCGCGAATAAGTCGAAAAGTATTGACTTTGAGAAAAAACTTTATAGAACAATAGTTGCTTAGAATTAGTTGATGTATCCATTCCTGGAGTTATTTTCAATGAAACATTTGTCACCCCCCGAGAAGGGGTGGCATCCACCCCCAGGGTAAAAGCAACCCCGGGTACAAAGTCAACTTTGAAGTAGAGGATAAGTAGAACCTAAATCCAAATTTTTATGAAAATAGGTGCTATCTGACAAAATTATACGGGAAAATGGCCATTGACTGAACTAATATCATCAATAAATGTTATTAACGATGTATGTAAAATTTATCCTCATTTTTTTATTTCCGAGTACTCTCTACTTAACATCTCTAAAATATTAACATGATTTCAATGTCTACGTATCGCAGTGCTATTTATGTATTCACAATGTAAACTAATTTCCAAAACAACAAATATAACCCGAGCAATCCTAAACTATTTAGTGTTATAAACTGTATATATTCGGTAGAATATTTGGAATAATTCAGCTGGTAAATTTAAATCAATATTTGCAAACGACCGCTGGAAGTAATAGTTTTGGCACTAAAATTCTCACTGCTAACGGTTTGAAACAATATTTGAATAATAAATTGTATTTAAATATCGGATACGCATATAGGTATGTATTCCATTAAGTAAGCACATACCCCGTCCTATTAAATTCACTGTGGGTACAAAACCGTTTTAATTTAATTAAAATTTTGGGGATGTAGAGTCTAAATCTCTCCAGCAATTAGAGTACATTCATATAGTTTTATTTTTGTGTAGTTTAAACAGTTCTTTCGAATAAATAAAAGCTCCTCAGATTTAGTTTTCTGTAAATTAAAACTACAATCGTATCTCTCCTAATAATAGACTACAAGCCCATCGAAAATTTTCAAGGGGTCATTTGACCCAGCATGAAATACAGGAAAATTTTCAATTTTCTGAAAATTTTGGCCCGGTTGTGGGTGATTTATCGTATTTATTTATATATCGTACTAAATCATGTCCGGTTATAATTAATGGTACAAATTAAAAATTCGAATTAAAAAACAAATAAATATATTGTGAAAATTTACAATATTTTGAAAATTCCTAGTTAGTACTGTAATAAATCACCAAAACCCGGGCCAAAATTTTCGGAAAATCAAAAATTTTTCTAGCTTCCGGTATTGCTATTTGCAAGGTTCATTTTTTTTGTAAAACCTATATACTTTAGAAATGCGGTACAAAAATGTTTTGCCCCCTCCCTTGGTGGACAGGTTTAGCTTATCTGTGTACTCACCTGTACCAACAAGAATTGACGGCATAGTTTCCAAAGTTATTATTATATGTGGTAGTATTGATTTATAAGTATGTAATTCATGCTGGGTCAAATGACCCCTTGAAAATTTCCGATGGGCCTGTTGTCTATAAAACGTTTGGTGGGTATCACGCTTACAACTTTAGTTTTACCAGTGAAAAATGTGTTGAGGTTATTAAATAGCCCCTGTATTTTTTTTTTGAAATATTACAGCCGTCAAGCCAGCACCGATCCAATAAATCGTAAGGGTAACATATCGCCCCATTTTCTACGGCCTCTAAGGTACATGTCTTGTAAGTGATGGCTTTTCCAATTTCTCACTGCTTAAAACGGAGAAATATCTGTGTCTTTTTCGAGATTGGATCTACCCAGGCAACATCATAATACGAATTATTGAAAAAAGAGACTCTGTCTTTGATGAAATTTTGTACAGGCGCCCATCATAGAAACAGGATGAAAAGTTTTTGCACGAAATTGAAGTCAAATAAACAATAAAACGATGGCAGCAAAAGAATTCAAACTAAAGGTTGTCCCACAAATAACGCAGATTTTGAATTGTGCACAATTTTCATTCCGAGGAAATGGCAGCATTGTGACATGTTATAATGAACGTAAATACGAAGAGTGTGTAGCTGAGACTGTGCGCAAAATACGTAGAAGTCACGTAGGTCAAAAACTTAACCGTTAGTGAACGGACTCGCCACGAAAACGCTCTCAATGTGCGTCCGGCTAACTCGTATTACGCGAGCTTTGAAAAAAATTGAGAGTAAGAACCGCATAAGAGACCGAAGCCTCCTCAAAGCCGGGCGTTATCCTTGATCCTCGCGGTATCAAGTGGCGTGCCAGCGCCGCGACGGACTTCCTGGCGAGAGGGCGCAAGCGTCGCCGCTCTGCTCCCGGTCCTCGTCGACGGCGATCCGCCAAAAACTACCCCTTAGTGTCGCGCTTTCGTTCCCGCGCCCCGTTAACGTTAAACGCTTTGTTGTTCCAGCATGGGCAAGAAAAACTCCAAGCTAAAGCAGGAGACCATCGACAGGCTCACCACGGCGACTTACTGTAAGTTTTTTTTTGCTTTTAGTTGTTATAAGCTTCGATGATGGGAGTTGGGCGAGAATTTTGGAGGGTCGAGTTGCGGGGAAGTTATTAAAAAGTTTTTAAATTGGCTAGCGGCATACCCACGGACTTAATTTTGTAATGTGGTCATTTAGAGATGTGTATCTCTTTTGCAGGGCGTCTCTGGTGTATTAAAAAAACTTATTTTAGAGCCTGGTTGTTTTCTGAGAGTAAATAATGGGATGTGAGAGTGAGTGAGGCTTTCAACTTCATATTTCAAACTTTTAATGACATAATTCTGTTTCCAACGCATCAAAGTTTATTAATACCAAAATAAATACATTTCCCTTTCACACAATTATTATTTTTTATGCATACAATATTCATTTACCAAATTCAGTCAAAATTACGAATAAACAATAAAGTATAAATATTGTTTTAACCAGTAAAGATTCAAATTAAAGAATACAACTTATTTTATTATTATTGTATCTTTAAAGCAACCCTTCTTATTTCATGTTATCTCGTGTTATTTTCATGAGAAAAATGCGTCTTTAAGAGGATATTTGATTTTAATTATTATTGAAGCAATACAATACAATTAAAGTAATATTTTTCAAATATCACTTCGAAAAAAGAATCCTTTAGGAAATTAAAAAAATATTTGACGTTCGTAAATCACCATTTTCTGTGGTAATTTATAGAAAATATAGATGCTAATTTACTAAATAAATTTTCTTTGTACGTATATTTAGGTGTTAATCAAATTTTTAAGTTGTTTATTCCAAAAATCTATTAACAGATTTGGATAGACGTAAAGGCTGTTTTGACGTAGATGATTTCGACAATGCAGAAAATTACCAAATAATTTCATTTATACATACATTTGCAATAGATTTATTGCTATGTTAACTAGATTAATAAATAAACGATTTATTTTTTAATAATAATTACCTCAGTTATCATATTCATTAAATTTAGGCAAGCTGAATTTATCACTATAGATGTTAAATATTATGTACAATAACACATTAGTTTCCACAGTCATAAAAATGGGGGGAAGATTGTTTACAGACTGGTTAATTGTATAATTTTTACGTAAATTCACGTTTTTCGCTTATAACATTTTTCCGTTCATTTCCACGAGAAAACAGTAAGGTACTTTTTTTCGTCTTCAAAAGACCTAAAAAATTAGCCCTCCAGCGTCAAAAAATATTGATTAGATCAAAAGTTATAAACAGAAGAAGTTTATTTATGACTTTTGAATTAAACATTTATAAACTGCGTTATCATTACCAGAACGTTTTGGCATCGTATCCTCTCATTCCCTATCACAGTCTAATAACTCTGAAATCGGTAAGTTGAATAGTTTACAAGTTATGGCCTTATAAACAAGTTAACTAATTGTGGACTGGACAATCCCGAGGACCTTCCACAATCGCACTGATTTTCTTCATGGTAGATTTCATAATAGTACATTGAAATCAAACATTTTTTTTAAATTTCAAATTTGCAACTTGGATTTTTTTATTTTTCAGCCTTAGTTGCAAAATAAAAATATACGACGCACGAGCGCGATATAGTTATATATTATTATATATTCGGAAAGCTTATGAAAAGAGCCTTAAGTTAAAAAAAATCGTCAAGATTCGTTTTAAAACAACGGAGTTACAGACTATCAAATATATTATTTTTAAGCGAATTTCGCTTATTTAATGGCAGGACTATGAATATTACCAGTTGTTTTTATTGTTGTTTCAAATAGCAAAATAATTCTTGATAGTATTATCCTGGGACACAATTTAAATGTAGCAGGAAGAGTGAGGAAGGACATTTTAATCAGGATCGAGCTTGATATACAGAACTTTCGGTGAACTATTAATATAGTAATGACGGGATGAGAGATGTATGGTTTTCTCGCTATGCCCGTCAGATCTTATCAGAAGTTCGGTTAGATGCTATATATAGATTAATTCTTAGGCTGACAAGGGTTCCAGGGCATGGGACAAGTTCAGGAAGCTATCCTCGTGAATTGAAGCGAAATCATTTGGGTTGTATTCTCAGTTTTCTCTGGGAATCTGGGATCATTAGTTAATTGTAAGTAGAGATTGACCGTAAGTACCCTCGTAAGTGCTAAAAATTTAATTTATAATAACCGGCGGAAAACCAAAGTAGACGTTCGACCACGTATCTTGATAGTTCCGCCAATTCTCGAAGGTGGAGCTTCACTGTTGTTTCTTTACCTTTTCCGTCTCTGGATTTCGACTGTCGCTACTGTTACCGAAAGTGGTTAGGTTTCCGGGTATCTGTTCATCTCATTGTCCGTTGCTTGTGGCTGGAACTTTATGGAATTTATGTTTACTAGAAAATTCGAAAGATACGTGAAAATTCATCAAATCTTGAACAACCTTGTCTGTATGGTTTTATTCAGAGGCTTGATGCTCTCAGATATGTAATCCTCTGCCAAAGTGGTTTCCGGGTTTATTGGCTTTGGATTCAAAACATTGGTAAAATTTATTAGTAATTTACCATGTAGTAAAAATACCGGGAGGCATTAAATATATTTAATGTTGACACGATATAAATAAATTGTATGATATAAATGGTAAAAATAAACTCAGACTTATTTCAAATATCCACTTCCATACTTCTATATTTTATTACTGTTCTTTAAGTCTGTTTTATTGCTTTTATTCCGCCCATATCGAACACTAAACAAACCGATTGATATAAGGCTCTGAAGTTTGTTTGATTTATTAACTGCATTTCTAGATTGGTGTTATACGGAATTCATTATTATCGATCTATTATAATATCTGCGGGGCAAAGATAATTCCACATATTGAAGGTAATAATTAAATTGCTGGTTTGAAATATGTTGCCCAATTTGTATGTTCAATGTTTCAGCAGTTGCATGTGTTTTGAAGTTAATATATAGGGGGTTTTTAATCGGTGTTACAATAATATCTGCTTAAAATCAATATTTTCTTAACATTATAAAATATGCAGATACCTTAAAGCATTATTTTTATCAATCTCAAAAATATTGCATTAAAGAATTATTGTGTTTTATGCATATATAGCTATTACTTGAACAATTTTTAAATTTATTTACGGAATTTTATTACGACCGTATTTTATAGTTTCCAACAATAATATATCCGTAGGTACAAGAGAAATAGGAAATAATGAGGACAGTCGTAAAATTTGTATTCCGAAAATGTTTTCCCTTCATTGCTTACTTACATATGTGAAAAGCACGTAATGGTTATTAAATAATTTGAATTACAGGACTGGAATCAATATAGAGAGCTGTAAACATTTTATTGTCGTCGCCATTTAAAATCTGGACTTTATACGAACATTAAATCTATAAATTTCAAATATTTATATCACTTTTCGTTATCTATTTCGTGTTTCACCAAATTTGCATCATGTCAATACGCAGTGTTGTTAAAATATTACTGCAAAAACAATCACAAGATCATTTTTTGATGCCAATATAAATATGTGTAATTGAAGGGTATTATTAAATTTTTGTATGAATTTATTTTTCGTAAGTTGTGGCTCAAATACTTTTAATAATTTAAATTTTTCTTTTATATGTAATTCTACACAACTCTGGCCCTCTTAAGTATAATAATAGCCTTAAAAGAAATAGCTATAAAGATGTTTTAAAGTCCAACGCTCCATTTGAGCCACAATAGCATTTTCCGCTTTTCTGTCTTTTGTTCAGCAGCTAAATTACTTGTAACGTATGAAATATCTATTGAGATCCAGATCTTAACATTGTAATATATTATCTTGAAACTCGACGAAAGTTCTTTGATAAATAGATATAAAAGTCGTCGAAAATAATACAGATATTATGCGTTCCGAAAATGATGGCAACAATGATAGAAGGGTTGTTATTAACGGAAAGGAAGTTAAATGTGATAAAACGAAATGTCTATTACTATAAGTGTAAATGTTAATGTTAATGAATAAATAAATTAACTTTGATTTATTATAGGTTTATTATTTGTTCATTATTCCACTAGCGGATAAAGTATCATTTTAGACGGTTCATATGTGTGGATAAAAGTCCGATTATAAGGTGGATTGTGAAAACATAAATAAATTACAGTAAAAAGCTCATGCATTTTTTATTATGCAATTCACTAACGTTAAAATGCAGAAATAGTGTATTGTCTGTATTCTTGGATCCGTCAAAGGCTTTCGACTGCGTGGATCATATTCTACTAAAAAGGGTGGAGTGTTATGGTCTTCGTGGTCAATGCAACAAGTTAATAAGATGTTATCTGACGAGTAGAAAGCGGTTTATTGAATTTTATGGTACTAGATCATCGGACTTAAATGTTGATTTTTCTGTCGAAAAAGCAATTAGTGAGTTAAATTTAAATTTAGAGTATTTATGTCAGTATTTTACAGACTCTAAATTAGTCTTAAATTGTGAAAAGTCTTATACTATTCCAGCAAACTATACATGCAGTCCCCTTATAAAATTAAATAAAACATCAATTCAGCACGTATCCAACTTTAAGCTTTTATATATTAACTTGTGAAGTGCGCCACTTGCTGTTTTGCTATAAATCGCTTGTCTAAAAATATGTAATATAAATGTAGTCAAAACTTTTTATTTTTCAAAATTTGAGTCTCAGCTTAGGTATGGAGTAATTTTTTGGGCAGGTGATAATACTTCTGTGAACTGTATATTTATACTACAAAAAAGGGCTATCCGTTCAATGTATCATCTTAACTATCGTGAATCTTGTAGACAAATATTTAGTGCAAAACGTATTTTAACATTGTCTTGTATTTATATTTTGAAATTACTGTTTTGTAAAAAAATATATATCAAGTTTTAGGAACCAAAATGCCGATCACACCTATTTTACGCGATACGGTCTTGATTTGCAATATGATGCCCATTGTTTGGAATTGTATAGAGCTAATCCATATTATATTGGTGCAGTTCTTTATAATAAATTAGAAATTAGAAA